CTTAAAAAACTAAATTCTCCCAAAACTAATGAACCAATAAAGAAATGGGCAAGTGAACTAAACAGAACTTTCTCAAAAGAAGAAATTCAAATGGCCAAAAACACATGAAAAAATGCTCACCATCTCTAGCAATAAAGGAAATGCAAATTAAAACCACACTAAGATTCCACCTCACCCCTGTTAGAATAGCCATCATCAGCAACACCACCAACAACAGGTGTTGGCGAGGATGCGGGGAAAAAGGAACCCTCTTACACTGTTGGTGGGAATGTAACTAGTACAACCACTCTGGAAAAAAATTTGGAGGCTACTTAAAAAGCTGACATGATCTACCATTTGATCCAGCAATACCACTCTTGGGGATATACCCAAAAGACTGTTACTCCAGAGGCACCTGCACACCCATGTTTATTGCGGCACTATTCACAATAGCCAAGTTATGGAAACAGCCAAGATGCCCCACACTGATGAATGGATCAAGAAAATGTGGTATCTATACACAATGGAATTTTATGCAGCCATGAAGAAGAACGAAATGTTATCATTCGCTGGTAAATGGATGGAATTGGAGAACATCATTCTGAGTGAGGTTAGCCTGGCCCAAAAGACCAAAAATCGTATGTTCTCCCTCATATGTGGACATTAGATCAAGGGCAAACACAACAAGGGGATTGGACTATGAGCACATGATAAAAGCGAGAGCACACAAGGGAGGGGTGAGGATAGGTAAGACACCTAAAAATTAGCTAGCATTTGTTGCCCTTAACGCAGAGAAACTAAAGCAGATACCTTAAAAGCAACTGAGACCAATAGGAAAAGGGGACCAGGAACTAGAGAAAAGGTTAGATCAAAAAGAATTAACCTAGAAGGTAACACCACGCACAGGAAATCAATGTGAGTCAATGCCCTGTATAGCTATCCTTATCTCAACCAGCAAAAACCCTTGTTCCTTCCTATTATTGCTTATACTCTCTCTACAACAAAATTAGAGATAAGGGCAAAATAGTTTCTGCTGGGTATTGAGGGGGGGGAGTGGGTGGTAAGGGAGGGGGTGGGGGCAGGGGGGAGAAATGAACCAAGCCTTGTATGCACATATGAATAATAAAAGAAAAATGAAAAATAAATAAATAAAATAAAATATCAAAAAAAAAATCAAAATGAGAAAAGGATAAGTTTCTCGAATTAATAACTGGAAACATGGTGTCACCATCAGCCAAAACTGGGACTTCTGGGAGTAGAGGAAAAGACTGAACATTTAGAGTATCTGTGATGGGCAGAAACGTGTACTTTGGCCTGAATACACAGACAGAGAATGGGCTAGAGACAACAATGCAAAGAAACCTGATATATATATATATTACCACAATCCATTTTGGAACATTTTCTCACCCCCCCCAAAAGGAAATTCTGTACTCATTAGAAGTCACCCTCCTCTTCAAATTTCTGTCCTACACCCCAGCCCCAGGTAACCGCTACCTACTTTGTGTCACTATAGCCCTATAGTTTTGCCTTTTCTAGACATTACAGAAATATGTGGACTGGCGGTATGGCTCAAGTGGTAAAGAACCTGCTGTGTAATTATGAAGTCCTGAGTTCAAACTCCAGACCCACAAAAAAAAAAAAACCTTATAATAATATGTGGACTGGCTGCTTTCACTTAGCATAATGTTTGCAAGGTTCATCCATACTCATATCAGCACTATATTCCTTTTTGTTGCTGAGTAATATTTCATTGATGTAACATACTTAATTTATTCATCCCCTCAATGTACATGTTGGATTGTCCCCACTTTTGCCTATTGTAAATAGTCTCTGTGAATATTGTTATTTCAAGTTTGGGTTTTTTTTTTTTTTTTTGGATGCTACTGGAGTTTGTTGAACTCAGGCTTCCAACACATGCTAGGCCGGTCATTCTACCACTTGAGCCACTCTGTCAGCCCTGTTTTGTTAATTGGTGTTTTCAAGATAGGGTCTCTCAAAACTATTTGCCTGCTGACTCTTCTGATCTCTGCCTCCGAGTAAGCTAGGATTACAGGCGTGACGCACTGCACTGGCTTGTATTCAGGTTTTGTGGGAAAATATGCTTTCATTCTCTTGGTATAGACTAAAACAGAATTGCTGTTACTATAAGTTAACGTAAGTCTGTATTTAAACTTTTTTCTTGGCGGGGCGCGTATATGGGATTTGAAAACTTGGGGCCTCATTTCTATTCTACACTTAAGCCATGTCCCCATTCTTTTGTTTGATTTGTTTGAGATAGGGGACTCAAGCTACTTCCCTGCTGGCCTCAACCCTTGATCCTCCTACCTCTGCCTCCTAGTGTTGGGATCATATGTATTCACCACCAACACCCAGTCCTAAATCCGTGTTTAAACGTTGAAGAAACTATCAGAGTGCTTTCCATAAGGACTGATGCCATTATTATTCTGGCCACCAGGCAAGAGTTCCCAGTTTCTCCCAACATCCTCACCAACGCTTGTCGATAGTCTGCTCTTCAATGCAGCTACCTAGTGGCTATGAATTGCTGTATCACCCTGGTTTTGCTTTGCCTTCCTAAATGGCTATTGTGGATTGAAAACACGTTTCACATGTTTTATCACCATTTGTATGTATCCTTTGAAGAAAATGTCTGCTCAGATTTTTGCTCATTTTTATTTGGTTATTTTTTTTATTATGGGTACTAAGAGTTCTATATATATTCTAAGTACAAGTCCTTTTTGGAAACTACGATTCACAAATACTCTCTGCATTCTGTAAGTTGTCTTTTTCACTGGCTTCATGGTATCCTTTGATCGCAGTAAGGGCTTATTTGACACAGTAAGTGGGACTGGTCCAGGGGAGGAACACATCTGCTTTGATCCTCTCCTCCCCGCCCCCATTCTCACTCTCTGAGTGGTTTGGCCTGGGACCAGTGGTTTGAACTGGGGATGATTTTTGTCCCCCAGGGAAACGTTTGGCAATGTCTAGAGACATTTTTTTGGTTTTCACAACTGGGGGAGGACTGTTATTGTCACCTAGTGGTAGCAAGGATACTGCTAAACACCCCTGTACAGGGCAGCCCTATCACAAAGATTTATTGGCCCCAAATATCAAATTGAAAAGCCTGGCCTAGGAATAAACTGCAAACTTTTTGCATTGGAGGCCAGCCAGTTAGGCCTCAAGTTGAGCAAATATCTACTGCTGTGTAAAAAAACCCAAGCCAGATGTGTGTGGTGATTCATGCCTGTAATCCCAACCACTGAGAGAGGTCAAGGTAGGAGGATCATAAGTTCAAGGCCAACCTGGGCTATATAGGTTTACTTCAGAAAACAACCGGACAGGCAAATAAACTAAACAACCCACAAGGATATTAGTATTTTCTCAATTCTACACGTGGGCGGAGCAGTTCTGCTGCTCATCTGTCCTAGGCTGCCTTTGGGAGAAGCTAAAGGTGTGAGCTGAGCTGCCACAGCAGTTGATCTGGCCTCTCTTCCACATGGTCTTCACAGCACAGAATCTGCCTTCTTGAACATCATTTAATGTCACTTCTGCCACATTGATCAAGGAAGGACACAATACTGACAGTTGGCCAGGGAGGGGTACAGCCAGAATGAATGTGGGGCTGTGGTTTGTGGACAACGATGTACCCTTAGAAAAACTTCTCATGGCCTTACCTTGTGTTAATAGTGACTTTAACAGAGTCTAGGTTCTCAAACTTTTGACCTCAGTACCCCCTTATAGTCTTTTTTTTTTTTTTTTTTTTTTTGGCAGCACTGTGCTTCCTAGGCAAAAACACTTAACATTTTGTGATGGGTTTTTTCCAGATAGGGTCTCTTGAACTAGCCAGCCCAGGGCTGGCTTCAAACTGAGATGCTCCTGATCTCTGCCTCTTGAATAGCTAGGATTACAGGTGTGAGCTACTAGCACTGGCTAGTCTTAAAAACTATTGAAAGCCAAAAACAACAAACAAAAAATCCTTTTAGGATTATAGGCATGAGTCACCAGTGCCAGCCAGTCTGAAAAATTATTGAGAAACCTAAAAAACAACAGGCAAACAAAAATCTTTTTATGCCAGGCACTGGTGACTCATGCCTGTAATCCTAGCTACTCAGGAAGGCAGAGATAAGGAGGATCGGGGTTCAAACCAGCCCTGGGCAAATAATTCCCAAGACCCTATCTCAAAAATACCCAACACAAAAAAGGCCTCATGGAGTGGCTCAAGCAGTAAGATCCACTAGCAAGTGTGAGGCCCTGAGTTCAAAACCCCAGTGCTGCCAAAAAAAAGACATCCTTTTGTTTGTATGGATTTTGGGTTTTATCCATCAATATTTATTTTATTAGAAATTAAAAGCTGTGTATGATGGCATATACCTGTAATCCCAGCTACCTGGGAGGTATAGGTAGGATTGGGGTTCAAGGCTAGCCTTGGCAAAAAGTGTGACTCTGTATGAAAAATAATTAAAGCAGGACTGGGCATGTGGCTCAACAGCACTTGCCTAGCAGTACCACCCAAATAATAATAATGATAGTAATTAAATAAAAAAGGACTGGGGGTGTGGCTCAAGTGCTAAAGGCCCTGAGTTCAATCCCCAGGACTGCCAAAGGAGGTTAAAAAAAAAAAATGAAAGAAAAGAAATTTAAACTGATATTTTTAAAAATGTTAATTCATGTAAAAATATAACAACAACCTATTACATGTTAATGTAGGGAACTCTCGCCCCTCAACCCTCCAACCAGCTTGAGAACTATTTCCCAGGCTGGCTTCAAAACCACAATCCTCCTGATTTCAGCCTCCCAAGTAGCTAGAATTACAGGTGTGAGCCGTGAGCCACTGGTGCCAGGGAGGAACATTTTAGAATGAAAAATAACCAATTTTTCAGATATGTTAGTGAGAAGAGTGACATTGTACTACATTTTTTTGTAAATCTCTTCAATATTTGATTAAACATAGGGTAGCCTGATTCTCATGTATACTTTTGCATTTTTATTTATTGATTTTTTATTTTTAGCAGGAGTTTTACCATGTTACCCAAGCTGTTGTCTAACTCCTGGGCTCAAGCAACACTGCCATCCAGCAGGCATGTACCATGGTTTCTGGCTTGCTTCTGGATTCTGGATTCTGCTATCGTATCACACATCAAGCAGCCTCTGGAAACTCCACTGTACACTCAGAATTGAGAAACAGGGAGAAAGACAGATAATGACCTACATTATAATGAAAATCATCATAACCTTTCAGATTCCTCAAAGGGTCGGCAAGGACCCCCAGGTTCACGGCTCACACTTTGAGAACCACTGGTCTAAACTACCACTGTGTTGACAGAGTGTCTTAAAATTGCTGAAGGGAGCATTTTCTGGTGGCTCACACCTGTTACCCTAGCTACTTAGGAGGCAGAGATCGGAGGATCACAGTTTGAAGCTAACCTAGGGAAGTAGTTTGCAAGACCCTATCTCAAAAAAACTCATCACCACATAAAAATAAATAAAGGGCTGTTAGAGTCACTCAAGTATACTTGAAGCCACTCAACTATACTTGAAGAAGGTGCCTAGGCAAGCAGCTCACTCTGCATGTGGACATGACTTTACCAGTCTTCTAACATTCACTACATTCAGCATGCTGGCTCTTTTTATGACCTCATCCTTGTGCATGTATTCTTCTTATCCCTACTAAACTCCTACTCAACCCTCAAAATGCAATATAAACGACTGCTCCTTGATGAAGGCTTTCTTAACTCCTCTAGGCAAATTAGGGTCTTTTTTCCTGTGTTTTCCACACTATCTTTCTGTGCAATACCATGTTAAATTTAAATTCATCAGTCTATGTATTTGCTTCCTCCTTAATTAGCCAAGAAACTTGGCTTTGTGAAGTTTAATTTTTTTTTCATGTTGGCATAGGATATATATTGATCCATTTCCAAGTCTAACCAATTATTCTAACAAATGTATCAACTCTTCCCTTCCCTGTGATTTGGGTGAGGCCTCCTTTCCCATGTTAACTTTTATACAGAGTGGATTCTCCACTGAGCTTCCCAACAGTCTTGGATTTCAGCTTCAACAGTGTGTCTTCATCCAAGATCCATGACATTTTAATCACATTGCTTTGTACCTCTCCATCATCCATTGCTCTTCATTTTATTTGAAATTCTGATCTGTTTATGCCTCCAGGTTAGCTTTAGAATAATTTTGTCAGTTTTCCAAGAAATATCCTGCCAAGATGTGAATTGGGATTGCATTTGTTGAAAACAACTTTGGGAAGCAAGGAGAAATATCTACATCTGCACAGTATTTGAATGGCCCATTAAGAAATCTGCTGTGGGCCAGCTTCCGGTGGCTCACACCTGTAATCCTAGCTACTTGGGAGGCTGACATTGGGAGGAACACAGTTCAAGGACAGCCCAGGTAAATAGTACACGAGACCCCCGTCTCCAAAATAACCAGAATAAAATGGACTAGAATGTGGCTCAAGTGGTAGAACACCTGCTTTACAAGTGAGAAGCCCTGAGTTCAAACCCCAGTCCCGCCAAAAAAAAAAAAAAAGAAAGAAGAAAGAAAAGAAATCTGTCTTGACCAGGCTAGGTGGTACATACCTTTAATTTCAGCACTCAGAAGGCTGAGGCAGAAGGATTGACAGTTTCAGGCCTGGATGGGCTATGAACTAAGACTCTGGAAGAAGGAGAGGAGGAGAGAAAATAAGTAGTCTGCTATCTTTTTTTTTTTTAACCATTCAATTTGCACTTTTGTTTACTTACTGTAATGTAACTTAATGAAATATTAAAGAGAAAGATTTGTGAGCATTGGATTTCTAACTAATAATAATTCACTTGTATTATGCTTTTTTGGTACTATGGATGAAATGTCATTTTTCTTACATTTTCTTTTTCTTTCCTTTTTTTTAGGGGGCAGTACTGGGGTTTGAGCTCTGACCTCATGCTTGCTAGGCAGGTGCTCTACCATTTGAACCATGCCCCCAACCTTAGTGATTTTTTCGAATAAGGTCTTGTGTTTTATGCCCAAGCCGGCCTCAATCCATGATCCTCCTATTTACACCTCCTGTGTAGCTGGTATCACAGGTGTGTGCCACCATTCCCAGCTTGTTTGTTGAGATGGGGTCTGTTGTCTGACGTGGCCTCCACCTGTGATTCTTCTGATCTCCACCTCCAGAGTAGCTGGGATTACAGGTGTGAAACACCAGACCCAGCACTTTTTCTTATATTTTCAAACAGGTTCTTGATAATATAATGCCATTTAGCTTAATATATTTCTTTCATACCTCTTGTGCAGTGGTGGTTCCTCTGGGCAAAAGAGGAAGAGGCTGAGGAGATCTGCTTGCTGAAGAGGCAAAACTCTTACAGGTAGAATGTGCTGCAGATTTGGAGCCACAGGCTAGTAAAAGAATTTAGCAAGACAGGAGAATAGGAGAAGCAATGGTTTCTTTAGGACACTGTTAAGGGAAACTGAGGCTGCTAGACATGGGAGTGTGGCTGCCCTAAGGCAGATTCCCAAGGGAGGTTATACTTGATTTGGGCTATTTGGAGTTATTTGATTGGGTCTTACTGACTGGTTGTTCCTTCCTTGGATCATGGTATGACCTTGTACACTTGGCCCTCACTTGCTTATTCCACCTGGCTCTTGATAATTTGCTCCCACCATGTCCCCACAGCATGGAGGGGACACAGTATGGAGGGGCTGCACTCAAGGCTCACCTGAACTCAAGACTTCCCTTCTGGTCTCTAGGCCCAAGTTCCATGCTTACAGATGATCAGAGGTGAGAGTACCCATTGCTTGGCTCATGGATAATTCCAAAAATTAGTGTGCTTACAATTTCCAATATTCCCCAGGATGCTGAAGCCTCCTTAACACATAGTATTTTCATGTGTGAATTGGTTTCCAACATTATTCTTGATAACTTTGTTGTTCTCTACTTGATTCACTGATCTACTCAGATTTTTCACTCCATGTCTTATCCATATTTTATTGTTGTTGAAACAGTCTCACTATGTAGCCTAGTCACCATCCTCCTGCCTCAGCCTTCTGAGTGCTGGGATTACAGACATGTACCACCCCACACCCTGCTATCAATTTTGATAACATGGGTTTTTATAAAAGATTGCCCACCCCTTTTGTGGGAGTGGGACTTGAACTCAGGGCTTTGAGCTTGCAAAGCAGGTGCTCTACTACTTGAGCCACCCTTCTAGTCCATTTTGCTCTGGTTGTTTTGACGATAGGGTCTCAAGAACTATTTGTCCATGCAGGCCTCAAACCAGGATCCTTCGGATCTCAGCCTTCCAAGTAGCTAAAATTACAGATACGAGCCACTGGCACCCAGCAAAACTGCCCATTTTATTAAGACTTCAAATGTGTTTGTCGTGTTTGTGTGTCCTGTCTATATTCCAGGGCTAATGTGAGTTATCTCTAAACACTGGATATAGGATTGTCTACAACTGCAAATCCAGCAGATTCTCCCCTTTAGAAAATGTCAACAACTATGTAACGTTTTCTATCTAGTTTACAAAGTTCTCATATCCCCTAGAACCTATCTGTGGACCATGGACCTATCTCCATGAACTCTATAACTAAGAGGTAGAGTGGCTCCCAGGCCTACAATTGTTAATGTAGCCTTTTTGAATGCTCAAACATATCTGAAGCCAGCAGATGTCTATCAGAAGAAAGAGAGGATTGGTCACCATAGAAGCAGAGACAAATGAAAGTCAGAGAAGCAATTGGTGGTGGTACCCAATTCAGGATTTTCCAGGGGATAAGCAGGTTCAGCACTAGATTTTATGTATGCTGGTCTAGCTAGCAAGGCAATTTATCCATCCACTTCACATTCTCTGCAAGGCTGTCTTGGTTATTAAGTGCCTAATTTATCTAACAGACTTCTTTGTTGTGAATTAATAGATTGGGCTTTTTTCCAGTCTCAGTTAATATCTCTCATTTTTAATTTATAATTGGTACTTGGATTTTATACATTAGTCTTATGAACTTGGATAATGTGACTCTGAGGGTGAGACATGCATCTATCTAATGACAAAAACCAGTGTTCTGAGATGCAAGACTGAATTATGTGGTAACTGAATGAAGCTAGCAAAAGTTAGTCCTGTTAGACTGAAAAAAGGCATGGAGATAGAGATGACTCTACGTCAGCACAGGTTTTATTTGGGAAAAGGAACCTGCAGAGGGGGTCCCCAGCAGACACTGGAGCCCACTGTTACTTGCAGACTGGTACAGTTATAGGAGGGTAGTGGGAAAGTGCTGGGAAACCAGTTAGGTCAGGAAAATTTTTGTGATTGGCTTGTTTGTAGGGGTAGCTAAAGGAGATGAGTGGTGACTAGGTCAGTCTATTGCTCAACTGACTCTTGCCCGTGGTGACAATGGTGTAAAGTGGGTTTTCATCATTCTTTGGGGCCAGGTAGGATTTTTTCCAGTAAGTAGCATGTTTCCAGTAAGCTGCCCAAGAGGAGAATAAGCCATGGTCCTAACATGACTGTCCTTCTGTTTACCCTAATATCTTCATGAAGTCTCTCAAGGCACCACCCACTGTCCTCATCCAGGTAGGCCATCCTAACAGCAATGGTCAAGCTAGCTGTCCTTGAAGCCCAGAACTATCCTACACCTATCATGTCTCTCATTTCTGCACTGTAATTATAATTACTCCTGCACCTTCACTGAAGTTGAAAGGATTGTTTTTATTATCTTTTATAAAATACAGCATCTTATATTTATCTATCAATTCTACTACTTTTTAATACCATCTAATTGGTTTTAGTACTTCATTTTTTCTTCCCTACAACTTCCACTGAGATATTTTCCCCTCTTCTCCTAAAAATCGTGCCTTTTTTTTTTTTTTTTGATGGGACTGGGTGTGAACTTAGTGCTTCATGCTTGTAAAGCAGCCACTCTATCACTGAGCCACACTGCCAGTCTGTTTTGCTCTGGTTATTTTGGAGATGGAGGTCTCACAAACTGTTTGCTTGGGCTGGCCTCGAACTGTGATTCTCCGTATCTCAACCTCCCAAGTAGCTAGGGTTACAGGCGTAAGCCACCATGGCCTGCCAGTGAATGGCTTTCTGATGGTGCTAGGTTACAGAAGTTTTTATGATAATGAATTTGCCTCAGAGCTGCACCTGTTCTGTGTGAAAGCCTACAGCCATTTGATTTCCAACTACACTAAGCTTTTCTCACTCGTATTTTCAGAATTTATTTCTTCCCGCCTATGTCTTTCTGGATAGAATCCCTTTTGGCAAAAGTTTCAAAATATCTAACATCCAGACAGCATTTTGCACCTGATAAATATGTTATATTTGCATATACTGGATGGTTGGCCAGCAAGTATTATTACTCCCTTTCTGCATAAACTACTTGAAACCCAATTGACTTGCCTCCCAGACCAAGAGAAAAATCTACATTTTGGAAGTCCAAAATGAGAAAAGGGCACCTCCAAGCTTCCTGTCCTCAAATCACCAATTACATCTTTTTTTGCTGGTTGGGGCTTTCAAGGTTTATTTCCTCTTGTGCATAATAAAAGGCTATCTAACCATTTCCTAACACCTTGGTATGTTTGTTGGTCCTTAGTAAGTTTTTCCAAAGTTGTAGGGGAGTTTTAAACAACAGGAGAACATGTGATACTACTGACGTGTTGTGAAATAGAATTTGGTTTAAAATCATGCAAATCATTATAATTTTGCTGTGTGAACCATTTTCCTAAGTAAAAGTGGGAATAAAAACTTCCCGCACTGGATGGGTCACATCT